TAATCATCAGAGATGGGTGTAATGATACAGAAGGACAACATGTATTTTAGGTTACGTCAGAAAAGATTGCATTAGTATATTACAAAGACATAAAACTTAAACGGGGAAGAGAAAAGCATATCGAATTCTGCTCTAGAAATTACAGAAATGGATTAATATGAAAGAATGCGGGAGTCTGGAAAGGAAGGGGGATTAAAAGGGGACTGGAAAAGGGAACACGCCCCTGTGTATGTGACACGAGATGAGTAGCAATTTATGAGTAAGGTTTATGCACGGGAACTAACATACAAGGAAATAATAAATCGTACAAATACATTTAAGAGAAGATTTAGATACAGATATACATAAATGTAAAAAAGTCGAGAAAATTGCAATAGATTATAATACTAAGCTCTTATTAAAAGTAAAACCAGTTCGAAAAGTGTATTCCATCCCAGAATACACATAATATCCTCAAGCCTTTTTCGATAGCTCCCACTTTGACCACCAGATCGCAGTTCCTCTCCGTCTACCTCACGACTTTCCTCCGCCATTATTTTGTCATCACCTCTCGTAGACATTCATAAGTGCGATTTTGAGATGCGAAACAGGACAACCTCCACATCAAATTTCATCCAAATCCGTCCAGTGGTTCTCGGGTTGAATCGACTATACAGACGGGTGGATGGACAAAGGCCAACCCGTAATGAGTTCTCGCTATGTAATTCGTGGAAAGAAATGACTACACGGTAAAACAAGGTGTTAAACGGTGATCTGCTTCATAGTAACTTCCATATATAAACAAACTCTAGACAAATTAACTAAATTTTAAATAGACTTTACTAATAAAATACGCAAACAGTACAAGGGGCGAAAGGGATTTTAGAAAGAACAGAGTATATACACAAGGCTTGGCGTCATGTAAATGTGGCGTAAAGTGTTTGGCCTACACATGAATCAGTCATTTGCAAAGCCACACTAGTTTACTTTTCAAAGAATTTAGTTATTGCCACCATGACAATAACAAGGGGTATTTGCTTGGCCTTTGGATTTAACGAGAGAGAAGTAGTCCAGGACGCTGGAGAACAATGTTTAAGTGCAGCTTAATAATCTGTACTAGTCAAAAAATATTGTTAAGTTGCTTAAACCAACTTGATTCAGCTGACTCAGACAGGGCGATGTAGTGATGTGCTCTTTCGAACAGCAACTCAATCTAGACCGTACTCGGAGATGTTTAAGATATCTTCTCATCTGTGCCCAGATCTCCAAAGTTATTTTATTAGACTATGGAAAACATCCAAAAAACTTTTTATTTAAATAACTCACCATCGTCACAAACTTTTAAATTATTCATATTAAATTTTACAAGCATTTCATATCTCCCCAGTGCCTGCTATATGTTCCACCCTCCCGTTATTACATCCCTCTTTGATCCAAATATTCTCGTCGACTTTTAAAAAAATATAAATGAACGACTTTATTTTGTATACTCCAGAGGTCAGGCTAATTATGGACATGAAACACTGATGACAAGACTTTTGTATCTTATTTAAATTCTACAGCACGACAAAACAAAATGAGGACAACAAAATACTCACTACGCTGAAAGCATGCCAGCTACACCCAACACCAGACGAGTTTACTTATTTGTTCGTGACGAAAATGTCTGAGATGTTGGAGACTTAAGAAACGTTAACTCAGCTTTTGCTTCCAGCAAACACAATGTTGAAACAGGAAACAAACTGTCCGAGACGTGTCCGTACGTACTTTACGATGCGTCCACAAAATGGCCAGATGTCTGGTTAATGTGTTTCAAGAATAAAGCACATATTTATTATTTCATCTGTCATTGAATTTCGGTTAACCTCGTCTATTCACGTTTTGCCAAAGGCTAAGGCAATACTTATCGTATGAATAATTATAATTATTCATACGATTAACTATTCACTTATCTAGTTAATCAGTTAATTCACTATCTAATTACCTACGTAACTAACTCCTCAACATATAGCTAAGTGAATAACTAAATAATAAATTAACTAGCCCATTACAAACTAATTAAATATCTAAGTAACCAATTAAAGAGCTATCTAACTAATTCACTATGCAACTGATGTCTTGACCAGATAACTAATTAACTACCTACCTAACTTACAAAACGCTGTAAGTTTGCAAATATCCTGTTACGCAACTAATTATTTGACTCACTGTTCAATATGACACTCGAAAATTAAATAACAAATGAAGAAATTATCTGTTGTTATGGAATTCAAAGTTTCATCACCATAAAAGCCTACCAGTGGACCCTATTCCTATCTTTCGGTATAATGTGTTGATTCAAACATAAGTTCCAACCAACTGAAGAGACAAACTGGAATATCGACACGTAAATAGAAGAATTAACGTTGGAATGAAAACATCTAGAGTAGAGATCACACGTGAGACTTCGATGTGAACAGAAGGATAATATTAAAATTTATTTCAGAGAAATAACTTTCAGTGTAAATTATGAATGAAATTTGTTCTCATCCACCAACCTATTGTTAGAGCAATGAAATGAAGGAATATGAAATGGGTAAAACATGTAGCACACATGATTAATACTAGAAATGCATGTAACATTTTGGTTGGCATGCTTTAAAGAAACAACCTGCTTGGGAAACCTACGTGTATTTGGGAGAAGACTATTAAAGCAGACCTTAGAGAAATTTATTGTAATTATAGTGAACTAGATACTAGTTCCGGACAAGATCCGATGACGGGCTTTGCTGGACACGTTCTACTGAGCTTTCGAATTTCATAAAAGCAAAGAATGTCTTGATCAGAGAAGTAAGTAGGCCTATAAACTTTCAAGAAGAGACGATGTATAAAATATCTAGATACAGACTAAAATATCAAGCATTTTTTACCGTGGTACTGGTTTAAGATGGCTGTCTTCTATGTTGTAGCGCCCTACAGTTTATCTACTCATTTCCCTGATGGAGGCAGCAAGTGTCTCTGAAACATCTGTAAACTTCTACCTGACTACACGGCGCTACAACTCAGAAGAGAGGCATCTTCAGGCCCGCCGCCATGAAAATCCCAAATCCTATTTAATCGACACAAATCGATATAAATTACTGACTTCGCGAATTCATTCCTGACACCTACACGGCGATTAGTGACAGTCACGTTCTTGCAGGAGAATGGCGGACTCGAGCGGCAACATCAGCCCGATAGCGGAGTGGTTCAAGGGTCGAAGCCTACTGGTGACTGGGGCCTCCGGATTCATGGGTAAGGTGCTGGTGGAGAAGTTGCTGCGGTCCTGCCCAGACATCGCCACCATCTACCTGCTGATGAGACCCAAGAGGGGCAACGACGTGCGCACGCGACTGGAGGAACTTCTCAATGCCACGGTGAGACGTTCATGCAAAAGGTGGCTAAGCACCGCGCCATAAATTCACAGTCACGGAGGTAAAACTCCAAGCACTTTATCGAGAAAGCTGAAGTAGCAATAGCACTCTCTAGACCTATCTCGGGGGTACCCGGTTCGAATGTAGTCCGGGTTACCGGCTGTTCTGACAGAATTCTAGTTTTCTTCTGTCCCTCCGAGAGAAACAGAGGAAAGTTCCTTAAATTAAGAAAAAACGACTCCTTTAAAATCCTTATCTACTTACCATTTATGATCATTTCTATCTCATTTCGCTCTTTTGTATGGTTGTAATACAAGTACAGATTATCAGTTATGTCGTAAGTTCTACTGTTAAAAACGTAGTTAAATAAACTAAGACTCGGTCACTTTGGCACTGGAAGGAAGTGAATGATTAGTTGCGTACTCTGTCAGTCTTTCACCGGTGACGTAACCTCCAGTGCCCACTGTATAAACAGTGCCGATGTGAGTTTGGTGACGAAGAGAAATATCCTTACCCCAAAGAATAATTGAGCCCTAGTAGCTCAGAGGCTAGCTGCCTTCGTATCTTCCTTTCTTCAGAACATCAAAACTTAAAAGCACATTACTGTAGGGCCTCTCACTGACCGAAGGTGATGACTGAATATAAATCTCGCAGACGAATGAAGATTTATCCAGAGCGAACCCGATTTTACACCGACCTGTGTTAAGAAAATTACATTCGAAATGGTACGTATGATTTCTAAATATTTTGCAGATTTTTGACTGGCTGCGGAAGGAACGCCCAGAGGCTTTGAAAAAATTGGTGCCGGTGTGTGGGGACATATCGCTCAATGAGTTGGGGCTCAGTCAAGCCGACCAGAAAATCTTAACCGAAAGCGTGTCTGTCGTCTTCCATTCTGCGGCCACAGTCAAGTTTGACGATGCCCTCAAAGTGTCTGTCGGTATGAATATTGTGGGCACAAAGCGCATTGTACAGTTGTGCCACAAGATGGTGAAACTAGAGGTAAGTTCTGCAAGGTTCTGCTGTAGACTATCCACCTCTCCGTTTTGGACCGGAGTTAACCGTACAAAGAAAAATATCTAATGAGATTCTGAGTGTGAAGTTGACTGTCTTTTGAAATGTTGCGACACATCTGATAGATGGAGTCAGCAAGGACCTCTGAAACATCGGCACTTCTATCAGACTAGACGGTGCAACGTTCCAGAAAACAAACATCTTCAAATGTATTTTGTCTTCGGCGTCTCGATAGAATTTTTCAGAAATTAGTAGTCTGTGGACTTTGGTTCATCTTATATGAAACTGAGTGAAGATCATCTCCTGCGATAAGCCCGATTAGTTCAGTGAGTTATGTGGCTGCCTACAGCTACGACCGGGGTTCGATTTCTCTTGAGGGAGAAACATTTCATTTTGCCACTTTATCCTTGCCATTCTATATTTATATTTCACTTGCATTATACATAAATTACATATTTGTTGACAATAATTCAATCCTTGCTATGAAGTGAAAAGTAAATTAAATTTGAGTCGAGTCCATATATACACCTGGCTGTTACAGAGTGCAGGCCATTTCGTATCAGCACTTTCATTTTACACTCTGAACAAGTATTTTTCACGTCAACTTCTGTGATTCTCCTTTCTAACATTAATTTTCAGTTTGCGATTTCCTTACCTTATTTTCCCATTTGCACCTAACTTTGTTTAAATTCATACGTACTTATGCCTTCTGATTTTAGTACGCATTTATTACGCGCACATTCTTCTAACAAATGCATTTTGCTTTCCTTTAGCAACAATCAAATAATTAATGAACTGTTTTATAATGTAGCGGAGTAAGGTACCTCACTGATTATGTACAAAGGCATTTAACTACTTACTTATCTAGTCGGTTGAAGCTAAGGAGTGGTATTGTTCCAGGCTCTTGTCCACGTGTCGACGGCATATAGTAACTGCGACAGACAGGACGTAAGCGAGTTGGTGTACCCGCCCCCAGCAGACCCGGAGAAGATAATCCATTGCGTTGACTGGATGGAAGACGAACTTCTGGAAACCATCACACCCAAGTAAGTCCTCTCAGTCTATTAATTATTCTAAAACAGATACACTTAAAGGGCCGAGCTGGTACTGATAAAATGCTGATAACAGAAAATTTAATAACCTGGTGTTGGCAACCAGTCAGAAATTTTGTGAAAGCGGGAATGTAAAGTTGAGTTGGCACCGGTCCCATACACCGGTCGAAAATCTCATGAGAAATTTCTTTCCCCGAGACTCGAACCGGCGCGTATTCCGTATCACCGGTCCAAAGCATGATGCCTCAGACCGCGCGGGACCATTCCTCTTTGGTACATTCTAATATCATATCATCTACGCCTGGGGGTCTCAAGTGGTCTCTTTCTTTCAGGTTGCTAGACTAACGCTGTGTTCACCGAACAGCTTCTCACTGCGTGTTGTGTCTCCTGCCCAAATCCTCCTCCTCACTCCACAATAATGCCTTAAAGTAGACCACGACCGCTTTCTCTCAATCTTTCTTATTATACACCACAATCATCTTATCCTCTCATTCTATGATACATTAACTTCAGTACAAGATGAAGTGTCTTAAAGTGATCGTATAATACATTTCATCCATAATGGAAATTAACCTTGAGAGAAAACTGTGGACTCATGTTTATGAATCAAATCAACCAAACACTCTGAAATAATCCCTCAGTTTCACATTATAATCCAACGTCTAACTTCAACCTCGCGCAGCGTTTTACAAAGCAAGAAGCAGGGGATGGAAACACAGAAACCCAAAAATGAACTTGCTGAGAATATATTTTTTGACGACGGCAACGTGATTCCTGGCATGGGCAGAGTTATTCTCTTTCCCACAAAGTCCAACCTGCCTCCGGGGCCTCCCCATTTCCCTTCCAATGGTTATCGGAAGTTCTCTCCTCGAGGTTAAGCGCCCGGAGTGTGAAGCTGACCGCTCACTTTTCCAACGTCTATGTATATGAATAATTACGATAACTGATTTGGGGTCCATGAACCGAAGGCCGCATAGAGTGGTTATGAAATTTGTCTGGATAGACTAAGGAAGACTACGATAAACCTCGATCAAAAAGAGCCGATAACCCTTCCGATATTCGATCCGCGTATCTCCAGAATAGGAGTCTTAATCGTTACTGCCTGACCAACAATGTTCATATGTTCGCAGATTAATTGGGAACCGTCCCAACACGTACACTTTCACCAAGGCCTTGGCCGAGCAGGTACTAATGGAGCAAAGTGGCAATCTACCAGTTGCAATCGTTAGACCATCTATTGGTGAGTACCGCAATTGTTTATTTGTGTTGCGGGAATAATGCTTAAAAAATAAATGTGTTCTCATCTATTACACATCTATTGCTACACTGCATACTCAAATAATTTCACTAAATGTTCACTATACTGAATATGTTTCATGTAAAAGTTGTGGTCTTACAGCACATAATTTTATGCCATTTACCACTTTCTTCTGTGGCAAAATTTTTTTGAGAAAACTGACACAGTTATTTATGAGTTTTGCGTAAATTAGGTATTATGTTGAAACAAAATCTTTCCAAAGAGTTTTCATGACAAATTTTTGACATTTTTGACCCTGAATACCTTATTTAATCAAAATACAATCAATAATTTTATAGTTTAAGTATTTTGATATATATGACCTCACAACTTTTCATTCAGTTTATAATATTAATGTAAAGAATGCATGGAAATTTGGGATAAAAATAAGATATAAGTTCATATTAAACATTGTTTTGAAAAGGAAAATGTCACATTTCTGACTAAACTCTCTCTCATGCTTGTTATACCCACCATCTCTAAGTACAAACCTTTTTCTGCCTGTTCACAAGGTATGTTGTAACAGATCAATATTTCAATTCTGAAAAGTTAAGATATTTAGCAAGTTACAAAGAGGATAAACAATAGGAATAAAAGAAACTATGAAACGAACTTCCTTCAACCAGTAACTGTTAAAACATAATCAATATTTTAGTTAGTAAATTGGAGGCCATTCAATAAATAATTAAAGTAAAGATAAAAGTACTTAATAAATATACTACTTATAGACCTAGTGATTTTAAATAAATCTTCATAATATTGATATAAACTTTATACATCTGTACAAATCAGAAACAAAAACTATTTCAATATAACCACTGTAATAAATGCTCCCGTCATCCATTCTAAAGTATGGTGATTCGATGCTCTGTTTTAAAAGTAACTGCTGCATGGAAGGAGCCCATTCCTGGTTGGGTGGACAATCTGAATGGTCCTACAGGACTCCTAGCTGGAGCAGGGAAAGGCATCCTCAGGACTATCCTCTGTTATCGTGATATGGTTGCTGACTTGGTTCCCGTAGATGTCGCTATCAACTTGCTCATATCTGTGGCGTGGCACACAGCTACAGCCAGGTGACGTCACTCTTACGTCTTTACACTTCACACACAAGATGCCACCAGACATAGCACTTACCCATAAAGATGATTGGTCTGTTGATTAGTCAGATATCAGACCACTAAAACTGAAGAAATGTATTCCAGTATTTGCCTGGAGAGACTGAGAAAAACCACGAACCTCAGCCAATACAGCAAAGTGCTAACTGCTCAGTATTCAAAATCTTATTTTGTATGTTATAAAGTGCATGAATTTGCCATTTTTAACAGATATATTAAAATGGTAATTTATTTCATTCAATTGGCACGGTGAATTCTTCTTGTTAGTCATTAAAGTATATGACCCTAAGGGAAAAAAACTGTTTGGCTCCTAAATGTTTTAGTTGGCTGCATGGCCAAAGAAGAATTTAGCGAAGTTTAAATATTCACTCTAATATTTTCCCAAGTCCATCTGACATCCACATTTTCAACTAAGTCTTCCAGATTTTAACCTGATATTGTTCTTTGTGTTACACATCAAACATTTGTTTAACTCATTTACTTATTGAAAGTCTCCCCTAGCTTTTGCAACAATCTAAAGAGGCTGATGAATTTATTTTTCTAACCCCATCATTGTTATTTATTTCAGGTAAACTTGTTTAAAAAAATATCAGTCTGAAAAAACAGTCTCTTTCTTCATTTGCATGGCAGTCCGCTAACAAAATTTGCTTGTATTATATAGGGAATCAATTGAATATACAATCTAGTTTCTCATAAAACTGTGCTTCATCTTATCACACATATAAAGATACACTAATATTCTTTTCAATAAAGTCTTCTCAGGCAAGAAGCCATGTCAGTTGTGGACAAAAGCCCGGTGATTTTCAGATCATCTATGCCTCCATCATCCCCTGATGCTGGAGGTGGACTCTGGAACATCAAACTTTTGTTCACAACTGACACGGTTTGTTGTTTGAGAACATTTTATTGAAAATTTCTGTCTTCTGGGTTGTTGCGCTGTGTAGTCTGGTCGATGTTAACCAACGTTTCAGAGGTCACACTGCCTCCGCCATCAGGGCATCTTCATACTCACCGCTGTGAAAACCTCAAATCTTACAACATTTTATTGAGTTTAGCTGCTATAAAAGTTTCAAGTCTTATCACTTTATAAAAAGTTGTACTTGAATGGTATTTGCATTATATACTACATTAGGTATAGTACAGTGGTAAAGTAAACCTGTCCTGGTATACACCATGCAGACACTTGGGGGAAGAGGTGGTACAGCTCCTACTCATTCTTAGCACTAGACAGGGGTGAGTGAGTGGTCAGTGCCATGCCTTGGTAGCACTTTACCTCTGGGATAGGACCCCAGTACCCATTACATAGGAGGTTGGGTGGCCCTCAGAGTTGGTCTGGACGCAGAGAAGAAAACTCCTCTGCCCGTCGGCGATCGAACCCCAGTCATCCAGTCTGTAGTCAGTCATAATACTAGCTGAGCTACCTTGCCTCCCAGTACAACGGCATGATTTCTAATACAAAACTAACTTACATAACTTTGGTTACATAATGTTAATCTGATAACTCAGCTTTACTGGTGCAGGCCCAACAACATCCTTGTGTACAACTGCACATCTGGAAATCTGAATCCTATCAGATGGGGAGATATAGAGGACATTGGACATGAACATATTGTTAAAAATCCATTCAGTGATGTTCTATGGTACCCAGGAGGAAGTTTCAAGAGCAGTCGGGTTGTAAACAATATTTGTGTCATGGTTTTGCACGTGATCCCAGCCTACGTCTTTGACATCTTTGCACGTTTATCTGGCAAGAAGCCCATGTAAGTAAACTTCATCTGTCTGAATATGAAAATATTGGCTTTCGGGTACAAGTCACTTCAAATATTGAGTATTAATCAACATTTCAGTAAGCAATGCAGTTACCATCTTCAGGTTTTAATTTTATTTGAGACACTGATTTTTGTGTACTGATCACCACAGCACCTTACATTTAGTGGCTTTTGATAGGGGTAGTCCCCAAGCCCCTAAAGATGAAATAAGAATCCTACAATGCAATTTTCAGTTTTGAGTAAACATGAGAAATTCTGATAGAAAAAATTATTGAAAATCATGAGGAAAATCATCTGATACCTTATTCAAGACACTGATCTACTATACTGGAATGTTCCATCTCTGGTTAGTATGCAGAAAGATCTACAATTCATCTCAGCCATTACCATTAATCTTGAAAATAACCAACAAGAAGATGGAGAACTCATGATACCTATTTTCCATTTCACAACTCTGAATTATATTTCGTTAGTGTAGATCCTACATAGGAAGATCATATGGCCAACATGTTGGTATTATTGATGGCACAGAATGAAGAAGTATAAAGTTCAGGGGGTCACAAATGAAATGTAGTTCATACCAAGTTCAGACAATTGACAATATTCAATATAATTGGTATGTAAAATCTAGGACCCTTGCCTCTTTTCTGCCACAGTATGGTCCGAGTACAGAAGAAGCTACAACAAGCAGCTAAATGCCTTGAGTTCTTCACAACACACGAGTTTAAATTTACCAACGATAATGTGACACGGCTCATGACACATCTACATCCTCTAGACCGCAAAATCTTCAACTTCAATGTTTTGGAGATTGACTGGAAACCCTACCTAGGACAGTATGTACTTGGAACACGCAGGTTCATCCTCAAGGAAGACCCCAGCACATTTCCTGCAGCTCGCAGCCATTTGCGCAAGTAAGAAAAAGACAATGACTAGTTTATTACATAGCTAAAATATTATTATATTAAAAGAAAAATTAATTTATACAGTAAGAATGCAAATAGACTGATGTGTGAGTTCCTAGATGTGGGACTCAATTTGCAAAGAACCCCATTTGAAGAACATTTTTTGAACACCTGATAAACCACTAGTACCAATAAAATCCATTCTCTTTACTTTTATGGTTGTCAGAATTGTTTGACACAACTGGTTAACAACATTTTGAAAAACAGTCTCTGTTGAGACTATGATAAAACAGTTTAGTCATGTGAGGAAGATTCACAATTTTTGGATAAATTATAAATGAATGAATACCATAATAGGACAAATAACTTATATTAACCAAGATTAAATTATTATCTTAAATAGAAATAATTATTGAGTCTCATACATTTTGGCTTTGACATAATGTGTATTGATATGCATTACTTTTACTTTTGTGGCAGAATGTACTGGGTACATCGCTTCAGCCAGTTTCTGACAGTGATGGTTGTGTGGAGGCTCATTATGCTCCGGTCTGAGACGGCACGTCAACTATGGTTTACAATTTTAAATCTTGTCTTTCAAATGACCAAATATGTATCTCGTCTGACCCAGATGGAGTGATGTTTGTTACCTTGCATACAAGTCGGAGAGACGTGAGGTTCTAATGTAGCCTTACAAATGAAATTTCTAGTAATATCAGAGTTCCTCTCCAATGTCTGTCATGCCCTAATGGAATGACCAGATGAAAAGAGTAGATGGAATACATAAAAAAGAAAATCAGGCAAAGCATTCATGTTAACCATGTTAGTCTGACAACATAAATTAAAAATCTTGTTTTACTTTCATGTTTCAGTGGTAGTCTATGGACTGGAACACAGTATAAGCGATCAGACTGGTGACTGTGGTGACCATATGCTTCAACTAGCTGACTTGAGTTGGCTAATGATGTATTTAGCTGATCAATTCTGCTGTGTACCAGTGCATGGAGTACCACTGAACCACAAAAGTAAGTTAAGTAAGTAAAAATTTCATAACATAGCTATCACAGTAAACATGAATGCTCTGTCCTCTGGAATAGATGATCCTGTGAAGAAGAAAATGTTTTAAAAGATGGGCAGGGTTAAGGATCAAGTGTCATAATGAGACAGCTGATGAAAATGTAACCTTTTCCATGCTGGGTTTCAGCTTACTTTCCTTAGGTTATAAGGAAAGATAAGTTTCTAGAATTATTTCATCCATATGTCTGTGCTCATAGTTAACTTTCAGACCAGCTGATGAATTTTCATGAAACTTGGTATGAACATATTACCACTAGGGTCCATCTCACCTTTATACTTACTAATTTCCTAGCATAAATAATACTAACATGGCTGCCATATTAACACCTGAGGTGGGAGCAATACCAATAGAACTTAAAGTAAGATATTAAAATTTTGTGTGGTAAAACAGCTCTGAAGTCCTAAAACTATTGTTTACATAACTTGTTGAATCTAAAACAATATGGCAACTAAAATATATAAAATTATGCATACAAACAAAACTGTTTACACTTTGAAAAACACTTAGTGCCAAACGTGTTTCGACCTCAAGAGGTCATCATCAGCGAGGTCAAAACGTGTTTGGCACTAAGTGCTTTTCAAAGGGTAAACAGTTTTGTTTGTATGCATGATGTTATATATTTTAGATAAATATTCAACACTGCACGGTATGCAAGGTTTTAAGAATATGGCAACTGTGTGAGTCTAAATTTAGGTTTTGTATGATGGTAAGACTAATAAACTACTGGAGCAAGGCATGTGAAGCTTTGTGAGATGAATAATAAACATATGCATACCTAATATTTTTGTCTGAAATGTCCAAAAATTTCAACAAAAACAGACATTGCAATGGTGCAAAACTTTCAGATTATATTTGACAAACTTCCTTTAGCCAGAATCTGTATCAGTGAAAATTATTCACACAAATGGATCACAAAAGTGTATAATTATTAATATATAGTTGTTCCTAGTCGCACCACATAAGATAGATAAAAGTTTTTGAAGGAAAGTAGGTGCCATAAGTTCCTCCCAAAAGTTTGTTATTTAAAGAACAATCTATAGAATATAAATACATTCTAACTATAACTCTATATACTGACCTATGACATGACGCCAATACCAAATTACGAGAATTTCTGTGCAGCTATTAAGTATTTATTAAACACTTAAAAAGGTATCACGAATAAGTCGCGTTACTCGTAACTGGTTGTTGTGATGCGAATGTGCATGAAATCATTGGTAATGTCATTATCATCGTAAGTTGACCTGGCGAAATTGAGCATCCGTCACAATGACACTACAGAATGTTGTGTTAAAAATTACTAGTTTGGAGTAGTGACCTATTTCCATACCAAATATAATGAACTTTCGTCCAGTTTTTCATCAATTATTAAATGCGTACAAGTGGGTATCAGCTGTTAATACGTTAAAAGTCTGATTACTGAAGCGCATGCACAAGCAACCGTGACGTTGGTATTACCGAGTGGAGGAAGGCATAAGGCATGAGACTGGAGTTTTCACCTGCAGCATAACGTTCATACAAAATGTCATAAATTTGCGTTCAGCCATTCTTATTTACTAAATGTGTCCAAACGGATACCAGTTTTGAAGATATCAGGTTGGGTTCAGTTAGTGATGAACTTGAGAAGAAGAAAATGGGCAATGGCGTCATTATTCAACTTCGGGATTAATAGCAACCGTCATGTTGGTATTGCCGAGTGTTGGAAGACAAAAAGATTGTGGTAGTCACGTCCACACTAAATTTCATGAATTTCCGTCAAGCAATTATCTTCCAACGGGTACCAGTTCTGAATACGTAGGGCCATGTTTGGTTAGGTTAGTGATATGCATGATCAGAGGATCAAGGGCAATCTCTCGAGTCTTTTAAATAAAAATACGCAATTTAAAATAGCAATAAAAAGATACTTTCTTACACATTTCTTCCATTCTGTTGATAAATTTCTGATGCTCACAAATAAGTCATGTTCATTAAGGTTTTCTCGCCTTCATTTGATATAAATGCGTAATTTATCTACTGCATGTATCTGTAACATCGCAATTTATGTGAAACCTATGCTATAATGCACGAAATTTTATAACAGTATGAACTGTACTTGTAATATGTACAATATTTATTGCATTATTACGACTGATTCCACATCCTGTTGCTATCTAACTTACTAAAATCACCTGGACATAAAATGTGTAATAAATTATAACTACAATAATCTTTAGTCTATGTTAATACGTTTAAGCCAGTATGTTAATACACACAAATATTAACTATGCAGCAATAATGATTCATGGCAATCTTGTTTTGGGGCAGTAATAGTTCTTCTCCTTAGATATGTCCAACTTAACCTGTAACAGGTGAACGATCTTGAAACCTTTTCGTGTAGAATATGAACGGCATGTTACCAAGCTTATCCGCGTTGACGTACATATATAACCTCTTAGCTCCCTGGGTTGTTATAATACATGAACATGATCGTATTTTCATTCAGCATTAGTTGCCCGTGGTTTAAATAATAGACTTTGGAAACTATATTTGGAGATAGATTTAACCATTAAATATGTAAATTATAGATTCTAATTTACGTGGGACCAACATAAAGAACGGCCACATTACAGTAACAAATTTATATGGATTACTATTCGAATTGCATTCATATGTTTTGAAGTTTTAAAAAACAATTATCGACATCAATAGATCCTATATATTTTTATATTTAAATTGTTTACTTACGTGAGAAAAAGATGAAGGCCAGGCAGGTTGATGGCATCAACTTGAGATAAGACGGACTGATGGTTAAAAGAGGGAATGGAGCTTGAATACTGTTATTACTATATCATTAGTTCAAATACCGAATTGCAGGTGTAGCTGTAGGTATAGTTCAGCAGCAAGTTTCAAGTTTCATTTCATAGTGGGGTTAAACTTACATGGCCATGAAACTGGTACTCCTATCTCAATCCAGAAAATTTCTATTCAAGTTTTCATAAACAATGTGACCAAAGGGTAGTGATGCACCTCTAATTAGAAAGTGAGGTCACCATCTTCTCCTGAATCTATGTAAAAAGTAAAAGTATATACCATGTAGGCGTTTGGGGGAAGAGGTGGTATGGCTCACTCATTCTTAACCTTGGTAGTAGGTGGGGTTGAATGGTTAGCGTCACGCCCCAGTATCCATTGGATAGGAGGCTGGATGGGCCCTAGAGCTGATCTGGATGCAAAGGCTAGAGAAAAAAATCCTTTCCCCGTCGGGGATCAAACCCGTCGTCCAGTCTGTAGCCAGTCACTATACTCAGCTACCCCAATATGTAAAACGAAGAGAAAAATTGGTTGTGGATGGGAAAGGCTCTGATCTGTATCAGAGGTCTTGGATCAATGAGTCATATGTGGGCAGATTTTTCCGTGGGTAAACAAAATCATACCCATCACTTCATTCATCGCAGAAACTAGAAAGGTCAGACACTATAAAAGAAGGAATTGGGAAAAACCTTGTAGTATGCAAATGGCAATCTATATGCACAGAAAACTGTCATACACCATGACAAACAGGTATTCTGAATTTAGTATGTATGACTAAATTGTGCAAATTGTAATATAGCTATGAGAATGTAATGAAAATTTCTGCCCTCAAGTCTCATAAATGTATTTGTTAACAAGAGAGGAAAGATGTACCCCATATTTTCCATGTTTTTTTTGCAATGTTGCATTACTTATGGCTTTATATTTATTTTATCTTTTGCAGATAAACAAATAACTGCAAAGCCAATCACACTGCATAGTATAAGATTCTTTTCTCTAGTTCACTAAATATTCAAAAATGTGAAATGTTTTAGATATAAGCTGTAAACGAGATTTGTTTCATACAGTAAGCCTTTTTGAAAAATTAATATGTTTTGAGCTTCATGTAAAGCAGGAATTATATTGAAACAATATGCAAAAAAGTTAAATTCACCAAAGTCTCTAGTGCAGATAACTTACACCAAACTGAACGAAATCCATTCACTAGTTTCAAAGATGAAACATGAACACAGATAAACACAACCTCTCATGAACTGATATTTATATGTTTTAGAATGATTTAAAGTGAAACTGAAAACAAAGCTGACAGCACAATAGAGGCTACCATCTAACCGGGTAGAATAATAAAAATAAAATCAACAACAATAATAATAATAACAGTAAGCTGTCACTGCTGGCTAACATTAAGCTTATTCCGGAATGCAAACATAACACTGAAGCATTACTCAGCCGCATGCAAAAGGCTGTGCTTCTTGGGTTGCTCCGACTACTGCGTGCGCATGATCCCACTCACTGTAGCCACCCATCTCGTGGTTCAAGCCATAGCTACAGTTTCACCTCGTCTGCAAGCAGTCGAGTTATGACGGCCAAAAGCCTGAAGTCTTTGGCTTTGTGGACCAACCAAACAATTGATTCACAACAGCAACAACAACAATAATAATGGCAAATACCATGTGATTATTAATTTAAAAAAGAAATTAATACTGCATTAGCATCAATTCATTGTGGCTCACTGCCACCATAAACAATTCTCACAAGTTAAGAATGAAATTGGTATGTGAGATTTCAGATTCACACAGCAGCAAGGATGATTCTCTTCTGAGATCTTGTGCCATGTAGTCTCATAGAAACTGACAGATATTTCAGAGGTGCTAACTACCTCCATTATCAAGGTGATGATGGAAGTAGTGAGCACCTCTGAAACATCAGTAAATTTCTATAAGACTACATGGCACAAGATCCCAGAAGACAGCGATCTTCAAAATGGCAAAAGCTCAGCATTTAAGGGGAGTGAATGTATAACTTAAACAGCAGTATTCAAATATTGTATTTTTACCAAACATCATTCTACAATGGTTAGCACTACTCTTTTATATCTGGGAGCTACCAGGTTTGAATCTCCAGCTGGAGACAGATAATTCTAGAAGAGGTGTTTATGACTTTCCTCACTCCTTCTAGGCAAATGCTGGGATAGCACCTTTTATGCTATGATCACATCTTTTCAAATTCATAAGCAACAAACACTTTGAGGCTATGCAGTTAAGAGAACATAGTTACACAAACCAAGAAATAACAAATGCCCTGCAACTTCAAATACAGGGCTTCAACACATGTAATGACATGTTCTACAGCCAGTAACACCTCTGACTTCCATTCAGAAAACATCCAGTCTGAATCCTGGTTCAAATTTTCCTCAGTTCCTTTAGGTAAGTAATGACATAGTACTTTAAACAGACCACAACTGCTTCCTCCCACATCACTTTTCATATCATCCTGCCAGACCTCATTCGACAATATACATTCTTTGTCAGTAATGGTGTATTTTCCTGTGTAAATAAAATCTGACCAAGCATACCCACTTCTTAACTTACAAAGCATAAACATAAACATACAAGACTCTATGGATCCATTAGTTATCTCCATCAAACTGAAAGCTAAATACAAAATTTTCATGGAAGCCACGCTGTTTTTACAATTTACTGAAGAATGACCTCAACAAAAGCTGCATATTTTAAAAAATAAATTATAAAATAAAATTTAAGGACTCTACATTAAGTGGTGCTAGTGTTGCTTAACATCAGAAGTTTGCACAGCTATTATGGTTTAAAGGTCAGATATATTCTAACGGCATAATGTTCATACCCAGTCACATGAAAGTCTGTCAACTGATTTGAATGTTATTAATGGACACACACATGGATATGACAATATTATAAGCCTATCACTCTTCATAAAAGAAGCAACACTAATTAAAAATAAACAGTGAAGCCTGAACCTCGTGAGTAGTATATTTTGCACGAATGAAAAAGAAAATCACAAGTAGGGTATCTGTCCTGTGTTATACACCAGTATGATTACAGAGACCAACCATGAAGGATCAACAGTAACATGGCTGATTGATTTTCACAGTTTGAATCATGATGTTACTACTGATTTTCCTCAGTCTCTGCAGGCAAATGCTGCAAAAATTACTCCTTAAGAGTGGCTCCTCCCAAATCTTTCTCTGCTACTTATTTATCATTTGACAGTATAAACTTGTATAGGAGACATAGCATTTTAAATAAAGAACTTAATTACTAATAGCAAGACCCCCTTCCAAAAGAAAAAGTGTTTGAATGTTATTAAATTGTTTGATGTCATAAAACAAATGTAGTGACTGCATTAAGTTTTGAGTGTTACATGATGTTCAACTGATAACAGAATGGAAGACCATGCAGTGGCATGTAATGATGATTAGTGACAAGTATTAGAGCACAAGAATTCCTTGAGTTGAAGTCAGTCCAATTTCCTGTTTTCCCATTTTCCTGCATATGAACATTACTAGGAAACAATGATCAAGTAAAAATTGCACAATGTCATTCTCACATTCGTTTGTCTTTTAAGTGCAAAAATGCATAATTTTAATTTATATTAAAGAATCTTCACACATATTATATACTAATATACACTAGAGGAATTCTTAGATTTTCTTTTTTGAAAAAATAAAAAATAAAAGCATACCACAGACAGCAAATATATACAAAAATGTAGATCCAAAAATGTCACCTCGTCAAGGAAATACATAATTAATATAATTTACTTAAAGAAAAAAATCAAGCCAATCTCTATCATTTTTGCTATTTGTATACATATTAATATATGTGCAGTCAATTGCAATGATTAAGAGTTCAATATAAGCCTCACTTAAATAAACCTGCGACCCCTAAAAGTAACCTTGCTGAAGCAAGGAAGTGGCAATGATCCAATGAAACATGAATAATCACAACACTTTTATACATTCAAGCTTTAGCCAATGCTGATATCAGTGACAATTTTACAGCACTGAATTCAGTAACAAACATCGAAATAACCAAAAACAGCTCTCAAAACACATCATTAACCCTCTCCATGCTGAATAATATTTAAAGAAACCTTCTTTTAGATTTTCATGGTCATGTCTATTGTCTACTATTGAAGGGCCACAAGTATACATACTTACTTTTGATTGTTCAGAAATAATAGATATTTTTATTTCACTGATATTTAAAAACACTAAATAAATCCAGACCAGTGCCTGTACACAAGATACTTATTCATAGCACAAAAAGTGTTCAATCAACAGTACTTTCACTTAAAACAGCAAGCTTATTCACGCTGACATTCAACAAAAGTAGTCACTGGCCAGAATTATATTCAAACTAAACTGCACACCAAGTATTCCAGTCTTAGTTCAGTGGTAATTTTTAGAAATCATACTGAATCTCCCTCATTGCAAATGACAAATACAACTGGGTGTAAGTTAAAATGGTAGAATAACATTAAAATGGCAGTTGTTTTATTTAAAGTTAACTTCAATCTGCAAGAAATCAATGAGCATCACTGAATGATGTAATAAAACTGACAAGGATTCAGCTGCTTAATAAAATGAACATTCCTTAACAATAAGAACTTTATAAAGAATCTTTGGTCTGGGTTTATAGGGAATAACAACACTTCCATCTGGAAACATCTTTCTTAGCCTTGGTTACATCAAGGCATGTTTCCATCTTCAGAAATACAATCAGAACACTATGAACTTCACTAATTTTCTAGGCTAAAGACAATGCAAGGCAACTTTCATAAGAATACACGATAAGACTACATGGCACAAGATCCCAGAAGACAGCGATCTTCAAAATGGCAAAAGCTCAGCATTTAAGGGGAGTGAATGTATAACTTAAACAGCAGTATTCAAATATTGTATTTTTACCAAACATCATTCTACAATGGTTAGCACTACTCTTTTATATCTGGGAGCTACCAGGTTTGAATCTCCAGCTGGAGACAGATAATTCTAGAAGAGGTGTTTATGACTTTCCTCACTCCTTCTAGGCAAATGCTGGGATAGCACCTTTTATGCTATGATCACATCTTTTCAAATTCATAAGCAACAAACACTTTGAGGCTATGCAGTTAAGAGAACATAGTTACACAAACCAAGAAATAACAAATGCCCTGCAACTTCAAATACAGGGCTTCAACACATGTAATGACATGTTCTACAGCCAGTAACACCTCTGACTTCCATTCAGAAAACATCCAGTCTGAATCCTGGTTCAAATTTTCCTCAGTTCCTTTAGGTAAGTAATGACATAGTACTTTAAACAGACCACAACTGCTTCCTCCCACATCACTTTTCATATCATCCTGCCAGACCTCATTCGACAATATACATTCTTTGTCAGTAATGGTGTATTTTCCTGTGTAAATAAAATCTGACCAAGCATACCCACTTCTTAACTTACAAAGCATAAACATAAACATACAAGACTCTATGGATCCATTAGTTATCTCCATCAAACTGAAAGCTAAATACAAAATTTTCATGGAAGCCACGCTGTTTTTACAATTTACTGAAGAATGA